TCTGTTTTATGGCCTCTGCAGCCTTAGTTAAAAATCCCACCCCACTGGCCACATCTGTTGACACCTCTCTCCTTCCCTCCTTGCCTCTCAGCTCCCTTGGTTCACAACGAGTTGTTCTCTCCAGCGCCCACTTAAGCCTTGCTCCCAATACAACAGGAGAATCAGGGGAAATCCTGCTTGCTTATTTGCTCAAAGGATTTCCGGGAAATTAGTTTCCTCAGATAGAAACGAAGCTCCCACCAGGAGCCTTGTCACATCGGACCATTGGCTTTTCTTGACGAGGAGTGGACTTGCTTCCATTGTGTTCTCTGATTGTCAAGGCTTGGCCCCACTGGACCAAGGGAGATGACAGGGAGGCAGGCAGGTGGCTTCTTGTGCATTTCCCCCCTCCCGTTAGTATTACAATGGTGCTACCATTGAAAACCATTGTTCCCTGCAGAGAATTTTCCAGGCCTTGGAAAAGGGAAGTAGTCACAATAAGCTCAGAGGAGCTATAGAGTAAATCAGGGCTGGGAGTTCCCCTGAGCCACCTCCTCTGAAGCAGCCAAAAACCCACCAAGTTTCTGCCCAAGTTCTGCCTTGGTGAAAAGAGAAGTTGACTTCAGCAGTCTCTCCCCGAGGTCACGCACCCAGGATCCTTGTCCTGGAGCATGGATTCCTCTGGCCACTCATCAGCCAGAGTAGCTTCAAGGTTCTTCCCTCATGTTCTCCATCAGAACTTACCCTTTGTCAGTCATTGCTTTCTGCTTCCTGGTCAGAGCAGGAAGTGACCTAATGACATAATGAGATCCCTGTGATCAGGAGGGAGATAAAATGAGATCTTCTCCAGGCAATCTTGCCTCAACCGAGTTAGAACACTTCTATCTTCAGAGGGTTCTAACCCAGGGGACTCTCAGCCCTGTGGTAGCCGGCAGGGAGAAGAGGCCGGCAGGATGGCATTGAAGTACCTTCTGGTGCCTTAATAGCTCAAAGGATTGTATGAGGATGACATTGATTAAATTGTACATGATTGTGTGTGTAAGTGATCTTGCCTGTGACTTGCACACTGTGGCAGTTTTAAAAACATGGCTGCAAGTTCTTTGTCACTCTTCCTATCTATAAAAGTGGTCTCTATTTCTTCCCCTTGAATTTGGGCAGGCTTGTGACTACTTCTACCAATAGAGAATGATAGAAATGTTGCTTTGTGAGTTCTAAGCTGTGTTATAGAAGGCCTGTCATCTCCTACATTTGTCCCTGGAACATTTGCTTTTGGGACTTTGAGCCACATGTAAGAAGTAGGACCCATTTGAGATTGCCAGACTGAAGAGACCACACAGAAGGATCCTGAGGCTACACTAAGAGAGAAACCTGGCCAATCCCAGTTGTTCTAGTCTCGACTCTTTGAGTCATCCAGCTCAACCCCAGACATCGTGGAGCAGAGACCAGTCATCCCAACTGAGCCCTGCCCAGATTTCACATTCATGAGCAAAATATATGATTATTATTTTAAGCCACTAAATTTTGGGGGGTGGTTTGTTAGAAAGCAATAGATAACTGAAACATATGTGTATAAACTTATGTAAGCATATTGAATAGACATAAGGTTGTAGTTCACATATATGTATGTGATAATTGCAACAATGTAGCCAGAAGCACTTTACAAATGGAAGAAGTTGTTGATTATTAGGATGATTCGTACTCTTCTTATTGTTATTCTCATGACAAACATTAGTAGTTCCCTCAGCCCTAGCCAGGACTCTATGCTTCTACAGTAGAAACTTCTGGACAAACAGAGCATAGAGAAAAACCTTCTTCAGGCCATAGGTACTTGTTAGGTGTGGACAGATTTGGGAAATCATTTTCTATCATCACTCGCTCCCCAATCCCTCTGCCCCTCTCAATCCACAATAGACCAGTGTCACTCATGCGCTTTCCAGAACCTTAGAATTGTTACATGGCCACAAACCTGGCTCCATGGCCCCAGAATGGGTTCCAGGAAGGGTCCTCATGTTTGAAGCTGTACTGTAGCAACTTCCTCTAATTATTCTCTTCTGCAGTTCCTTTGACTGTCTGTAATATGGCATAGTTTCTCCCAGACTGAAAATACTTTAGGGGCAGAAATTTTTATCTCCAGCACCTAACACAGTCCCTGGTACTCAGTAGCATCTTAGTGTATGCTTATGGAATACTTGAATACATATATGGTCTCCAGACCCCACCTGTTCTGGTTGACTCTCTCAGAGTGTACCTGGGGTGGACCCCTAATTTAATACAAAATTCCATGTGTGGACAGAGTGGCTCAGGGGATGGGGAACCAGGTGCCAGTCCTTATGGCCTGTATACTAGACCTGGTGAGTGCAGATACAGATTATAGTGGCACTGAGAAAGGATACCTCCCTTCGTCTTCACACCTGGTTCGTGGTCAGCTACTTGTCTCTGTTCCACACTTCCCTCCCCCCCATCCCACCCCACTCCAGTCTTTTTGCACTTTATTTACAAAGAAATACTTCTTTTTGGAAAACACTTTGTCTTTCTCTCTCTCACCTATCCTTGAAAAGTGATTATTTAGAAACTCTCCAAAATAAACTAAAGCAGGCTACCATATTTAAGAATTTTTAAAGCAACTCCTTTTTGGATCCAGAAGATCAGAAATATAGAGCCCTAAATGTAGTTGGCCCCGGTTGTGTTGTACGTGCATTTTATTTATTCGATAAAGATCAACTACCTGCCTTCCCTGGGTCCAGGCTTAGGCTCTGGTGAGAGAGAGAAAAGGTAGACCTTGCCCTTGGAATGTTCATTGCAACTCTTAAAGCACGTGCTTATACTATTTTTCCAGAAATGCTCATCATCATGGGAACGTAATGGGGGGTAGAAAACAAATTTTCCCATCCTTTTGGTGTTTCTTATGATGCTCAACGATGATTTGAGGAGAGAAAGCTGCCTGTTCTTGGCTTCATGCTCCTGTGGGCCAACAGACATAGTCTAAGAGGGAGTGGGAGGACCTCCCCAGGGGAAATCCTGGAGAATTGGCTTGACCACATGTCTGTATGCTCTTTTGTTCTATACAGGTCCCATGTCAGTTCAGTACTCCCAGAAGAAAGCCAAGAGAGGATTAGATGTGTAAGAGATTTATTGGGGGAAATGCCTGTAAGGGAAAATGGGAAGGGAGGTAGAAGAAGCTGGAAGAACTGTCAGATCACAATGCAGGGCTGACCTTGGCGAAGAGAGAGCAGGAAGGAAGATTGGGGAGGAAGAATCTTAGGCTGTAGTGTGGTCTAAGAAAGTTTCCACAAAGCTGATGGCAAGTCATTGAATCAAAGTTACCCTTCAAAGGAGGTTGACTTTCAGGAACTGGTCTTAGTATTCCCGCCTTGCTCAGTTGTTGACTCGGAACAGCCTGTGGGGAGCATGAACTCAGTGCAAAATCGGTGGTAGATTCATATCCTGGCAGCTGGGGCCCTTAGTCAATTATATTCCTGCAGTAGGAGGTCTGAGAGGTGCATTTTCATGGCTGCCACAAGTCCCTATTAACCAGCACCCTAAGCAGCATCTCTCCCTTCCTCCTAACCCCTTGGTGATAGTTCAGAAATACAAGTTATATGTGACCTTTTTTCCCCCTGTTTGCAGCTGTTCATAGACACTGATGTAACAATCAAAGTCACTCCATACGTGGATGGAAAAAAAAGTGAATTCAATTTCTCCAGAAACCCTGAATTGTCTCCTCTTTCTCCCACCCACTACTCCTGCCTAATAGCAACACTGACCCTTCAGTCAACAGAAAGATGCAGCTAGCAGACAGGAATATGGTTCTCTAACTGCCTTAATTGTCATGTACTCTGGTGAGGAGACTTGAAAGCTGCCTTCAAATCCCCAGCGCTCCTCTTAACCAGTAATTTTGCCATGTCCGCCAGCTGTTTCCCAAAATTGCTGCCGAAGCTAAATAAAATGAGAGATTTGCATTTCACTTCAAACTGTGCACTTATGAAGTTATGCCCTTACTGGGAAGCCCAGTTCCTCATTAGTCCATGAAAGAATGATGGGGAACTAGCATTGATTAAGCGCCTGCGTGGTGACAGGTGCTACATAGGTCGTCTTGTTTCACTTCACCTCAACCCTCTGATGTCAACATGTATTGTCCCATTTTACAAACCTAGGGCATACAGTGAGTAAGGAAAGAGGGATTTGGACCAAGTCTGGGTCCTCTGACTCTAGGTCCGGTTCTTTCTGGTCCCACAATTTCTGATCCATACATGAATTAACGGTGTTGGCTGAAAGCAGGACTTCGTTTTCTATCTATAAAAGTTCTAGAGTAATCTCCATTCCAAATTTTCATTCATCCAGTTTAGCCACTAGGCTGCATTTAAGACTTTTTTTTTGAGGTAAAATTCACATAATGTAAAATGACCCATTTTAAAGTGAACAATTCGGTGTTTAGTATCTTCACAAGATTGTGCAACCACCACCTCTATGTAGTTCCAAAACATTTTCACCACACAATAAACCCCTGTACCTATTAAGCAGCTACTCCCCCCACCCCTCGGTCCCCAGCAATCACCAATTTGCTTTCTGTCTCTATGGATTTCCTTATTCTGGATATTTCATAAAAATGGAATCATACAATATGTGACTTCATATTTGGCTTCTTTCACTTGGCATAATGTTTCTGAGGTTCATCTATGTTGTAGTATGTATCAGAACGTCATTCCTTTTGACAGCTGAATAATGTTCCATAATTTGTTTATCCATTCACTTGTTGATGAATATTTGGATTGTTTCTACCTTTTGGCTATTGTAAATAATGCCGCTGTGAACATTCATTAGTCCATAAGTATTTGAGTACCTGTTTTTGGTTCTTTTGGGTATATCCTTATCACTGAATTGCTGGGTCATATGTTAATTCCATATTTAACTTTTTGAGGAACTGCCAAATTTTCACACGGGCTGTACCATTTTACATTCTCACCAGCGATGTGCTAGGGGTCTAATTTCTCCACATCATTTCATTTAAGACTTTTAAAGCTGAATTAATCATTTACAGGATGAGGAAGTGGCCTCTCCGAAACATTTTCCTCTTTCACATTTTAAACTTTCTCTTTCACATACAGCCTACTCATGAAAGTAACTAGGAGGAAGGATATTATCAAGTGATGCAAACAGAAATTCCACCAGCCTCCAGATATCATTATGTGTCATATCCCGTCAAGTTCTGTGAGCTTTCGCTTCAAATCGCCTCAGCCACCTCCAGGTGAACAACAAGCTCAAGACTTCGCGTTTCAGCAGGCAGAAGATGACGGACTGTGAGTTTGGATATATTCACATGCTGACCCAGGACTATCTGAAGTACGTCCTGCAGATACCACAACCCGGATCTGGTCCAAGCAAAACATCCAGAGTGTTACAAGACATTGCTTTCTCAGTTCAAAACGAAGTTGAGAAGAATCTGAAACCATGCTTGGACAATTTTGATGTTGTGTCCATAGATTCTGCCAGAACAATATTCAATCAAGTGATGGAAAAGGAATTTGAAGATGGCATCATTAACTGGGGAAGAATTGTGACCATATTTGCATTTGAAGGTATTCTCATCAAGAAACTTCTACCAGAGCGAATTGCCCCAGATGTGGATACTTACAAGGAGATTTCTTACTTTGTTGCTGAGTTCATAACGAAAAACACAGGAGAATGGATAAGGCAAAATGGAGGCTGGGTATGTGTGATAGAAATATTCTTCATTGTTCTTTACTTTGAAATAAGAATCGACAGTTTTCTTGGGAATTAAAAAAAAAATCTACCTAAGGATTGTATTTTCTTTGGGTGGTTTGTTTTAAAAGTTTTTAATTTTTAAAATAAGAAGAAATTTCTGGCTCATTTCCAATGAATCCTAGAACTTTACAGTTAGAAAACACTTTTGGTTCCAGTTTTTATTCCTAACTGTAAATTACAGGAAGGAGGTTTGGGGACTTATAAAGCAGCTCTCTAACACATCTTCAGAGGCAGCAGTGCAGAGTCTAGTCTAGGACTTAGCTCTTGCTAGCGTTGGTTGTCATGACAATGTAGAATTAGTACAGGAAGAGTGGTATTAGATGCTGTTATTATGTTGTAAAAGATAGGTCTAAATTTTTGCAAGTTTATTGCTTACAAATTGATTTTTTCCAGTTTTCCAGTATAACAAATTCTGGCTATTGACGATTGTTGATAAAAAAAAAATAATGTACTGCACCAATAGCAAGAAAGGTTATTCAAGAATTTCCTAATAAAAATTCACTTTATTATCAATGCCTCAAAAAGCCAAGACCATATAGGGGGTCTATATTAGAACTCATGTTGATAAGTGGCCTTTCACAGCTGGATGTTTATGTTTTTCTTTATATCCCAATACACTTAATATTTTTTTAAGCACTTATGTCTCCATGGATCCTCTCTCCAACCCCCAATCCTGGCCCTCCCCTCTCCCCAGAGGTAACCATTGCTATCAATTATTTTACATGCAAAATATGCCTATTGAATATATCCATAGAAAATATACATAGTATTTCTTCGTAAAAAAATTTTTTCTTCCATACTTTTTTTTTAATTGAGATCATAATAGTTTATAACATTGTGAAATTTCAGTTGTACATTGTTAGTTGTCAGTCACCATATAAATGCACCCCTTCACCCCTTGTGCCCACCCCCCAAAATTTTTGTATGTATAAATAGTACATGGTACTTTTTCTGCTTTTTTTCACCCAACGGTATTTAAAAATAGTATTTTCAAGAGTGCTGTTGTATGTAAATACTGTCGAATGGCTGGCCATTTCTAGCTGATGGATATTTAGGTTATTTCCAGAGTTTGCTATCACAAATAATACTTCATTGAATATCTTTATTCATACCTTCCTCCCTTTCGCATGTGTTTTTCTAGGGTGGATACTGCGATATAGAATTACTGGGTCAAGGTGTGTGTACATTTTTGAATTTACTAGATCCTTGCCCTCCACAGTGGCTCTACCAAGTCACCCTCCTGTCTGCAGCTTGTGGAGCCCCCGACACTCCCCCCGCCCCAGCTGACTAACACTAGGTTATAGCATTCTGTCATAATTTCCCCACTCAGTTGGGTTAAAAAATATACCTAATTTATCTTGTTATTTTAATTCTTATTTCCTTGATTGCTAGTGAGGTTAAACATCTTTTCACATTGAGCATCTTTTCATGTTTATTGACCATTTGTAATTCTTATTCAGGGAATTGCCTGTTTATATTCTTTACCCATTTTCCTATTATTATGTCTTTTTCTCGTTGATTTGTAGGAATTCTTTGAATATTCTGGATAAAATTATTTTTATATATGTGGCAGATATCTTCTAACTGGTTGTCTTTTAAAACTATAGATGTCTTCGGTCATTATAAATGTTTTAAAATTCGATGCAATCGTATTCATCTTTTGCTTGATGTCTTTTGCATTTTGTTTAAGGCCTTCCGGCGTAATGATAGGGCTTACTGGAACCGCTGCCCTTTCTCAATCACCTTTTCTTTCCGGAACTCTTTTTTCTAACTCAGCTTACTTGGGGCCGGAGGAAGCATGTGAGATATTTAGTCATATTTTCTTCCGGTTGGCTGTGGAAAGCTATACTGAAGGACTGGTGGAAATTTCAGCTATGATGTGTAGGTTTCAAGTGAAGGCAAAAGTTATCTAGCGTGGAGGTTCACGTGTGAGCCTGTAGAGAAATACTAGTTTGGAACCTCCCTGCGGGCTGTCAAGAAAGATAGTTTGCAAGCTCTCTATGGGCTAGGATTGTATTCCCAATGCCTAGCAAAGTATTTGGAACACATAGACAGTGATAAATATTATTAAAAATTTAACTTCTTCACAATAAATTTTGTGAGCCTCTAGAAGTCATAATCACTGGAGGGTGTGGAATTGTCTGAGGATTTCTAGAAGTGTACTCATCTTTCGGGGGTGGTACAGGTATAAGTGTGCATATGGCAGGATGACCCTATCTTGAGTGGAGATATAAATACACACATGTGCCCGCACTTGCACACTCAGCCTTCATGAAGTCCTTAAGTAGGTTTTAAACTCTTGACTTTTACACCTCAATAGCTTAGGTCTTAGACATGACAGAAAACACTTTTTAAGACGTCATTTCAAAGCAACCTCAATATTGCTTTCCCATCTCAGACATTGATTCTGTTAACGGAAGGCAGTGCGTTTTTGAGTCAGTACATATTAGCATGGCAAACTGGTATCTTCTTTTCATAGTGATGTTGACAAATCTGCTCCAATGAATGAACTTACTCTTGAATGCTTCCTTTCAGGGGAAGCAGCACAATCACACGCCTATGCTAGTAGTCAGGTGGCTCACAGGAAGAGGGGAAGAGAAGAGGCACTTTACGTTATCAAGACACGAGCACCAGCTTCCCACTTTTCACCCTCCTGAAAAAACTCCCAAAATCACTGATTATAAAGCACATGAGCTATTGTCCTGTCTATAGTCATCTATATTTGCTTGTCATTGGCTTCAAATGAAAAATGCATGTCTAAATGAAAGATGAGAAGAGCATTTAACCTACAACTGGAGAATACCTATAATTTAATTAAATTCTAAAAGTGGTCAGAGGCTTTATGAAAACTTTTGTATTGAGAATGTGGTATATGAGGACAGCATATATATTAAGAATAAAGTCTGAATCAGATGGACCTGGGTTTATTTCTGGGCTCCAGTGTTTACTACCTGTGTGACGTAAACCAGTTACTCAACTTCTCTAAGCCTTGTTTCCTCATCTGTAAAATGGGGAGAATACAGCTACCTATCTCCTAGGACTGGTATAAGGATTAAATCAGTTAATATTATATATAAAGCACATAGAACAGTTTCTGCAAATAAATACTCCATACAAGTTTAGGGTTATTGTTATGATTAGCGGTAGTAGTGTTGTCTAACTTCCCTGATTAAATATATTTAGTCTCCATAAATTATGTGATCAACTACAGTTAGAGATTGGTCACCATCTAAAACAGATGCCCAAAAGGGAAAAACAACACCAGCGTATCAATAATGGGACTCATAATCTCATAACTTATTCTTGTTCTCATTTTTATTAGTTTGAGTTCTTTCCTTCCCCCCACTCTTCTTTCTTTCTTCCTTCTGCCCTCCCTTTCCCCTCCCTTCCTTCTTTTCTTTTTTTCCCTCTTTTTTTTTTTTACTGCTTCTCATCTTCTTTTTCTTCCTCTTCCACATTTACCATTATTTCCTCCTGTCCCCTGTGCCAGTTTGAAGTGCTGAAAATGGATGGGCTCTCCTGAGATCTGAAAGGAGAAGTAGTGCTATTTTTCAGCTGTCTTCAGCATTCATGAGGCAAGAATGGTTCTTAAAAACCATTAGTTCCGGTTATAAAATAACTAAGTCATGGGGATGTAATGTACAGCATTGCAACTATAGTTAATAGTACTGTACTGCATATTTGAAAGTAGCTAGGAGAGTAAATTACAAATTCGCATCACAAGGAAAAAAATTTTGTAACTATGTGAGGTGATGGATGTTAACTAAACTTGTGATGATCATTTTGCAATATATACAAATATGGAATCATTTTGTCATACACCTGAAACTAACATAATGTTGTATGTGAATTACACCTCAATTAAAAAAGAAAACCCATCAGGAGAATGTGCAAGAGGTGAAACTCATGTCTCACACTTTGGGATCACCTTTACCTTTGAATCAGGTGGCTTTCCTACTTTTGCCCTCTTCAATAAAGCATTCCCTTGTGCCTGTGCTGGTGGAGCAGAAAGAACCCTCAGCCCTCAGCTCCACACAGGAGGAATCACGTCTACCTAATGCACCACTGTGTACCCCATGCTTGGCTTAGGGCCTATTATATAGAAGGTACCCAACAAACATTTGTTGATGGAATGATTGAATGAACTAACATTGAAACTGAGGTTTGAATCCTGATTTTCTCATTCACTAAAGATATGATCTTGGGTAAGTCACTGAGGTAACCTGAGACTCAGATCTCAGATTCCTTATATAATGTATATAATATAATATAAGATGATATAATATAATATAATATAAATTATACACATAATATGTAATGAAGACAATAATACCTACCTTAGAAGGGAAGTTAAAAGATTAAAGACCATTTCTATAAGGGTGCTTTGTAAACTGTCAACTATAATACAACTATGAAGGTTATTTGGGAAATTCCAAGAAGTTTAAATATACAATTCTTAAAACTCCTCTCATACCAAAAGAAAGCCCCTTTGAAAGTAGGGATGTACAGTCAGAGTTGGTGCTTTCCCAGTAGCCAGCATATTAAAGCCTGAGTCATAAGAGTTCACCCAATTAGGTTTTATTTTTTTTATGATCTTCTTGCTCTGAATAACGGTCTGGTCAATTTGAGGCCAAATCAAAGGAAGTATGGAGACACACAGATGATTGACTGTTCAGTTTGGCAAAGGCATTTCCAAAAGGTGTAAAGATCTAGTAGTGAGGTGATACAATCTCAAGTATTCTTATATATCCTTTTTTTAAATAGATTCTGGAGCCAAATTCTTCTTATATTTCTTTTGAATTTTAACTTGAGATTCTAAAAATCATTTAATGAAAAGTAAGGTGAAACATAATTGAAGGCTCCCTGTGAGTCCTTCAGGAGCACTCTCTAAGTGCTGGCTCTCTAACCTTGGGCGTCATCCTTGACCCCTCTCCCTTGTACCCTACATCCAACTTATCAGCAAGTCCTGTTGGCTGCACCTTCTTCTACCAAGTGCCCCTGGGCCTCTTTCCCCTCTCACTTGACTGAGTCTTACCAGTTTCCTTGCTTTCATTCTTGCTCTGTTATGGTCTATTCTCCACATAGCAGTGAATTAGATCACGTCCTGGCCTAATTAAAACCCTCCCAAACACTCCTTCACCCTGGGAATAAAAATACAAAGTCCTGACCACTGTACCCAAAACCCTACAGGATCTGGCCCCTAACTACCTCTCTGACCTCACTTTCTATAAAAACTTCCTGTGCTCTCATAGCTGCAGCCTCCCTGGATAAACTAAGCACATTCCACCCTCAGAGCCTTTGCACTTGCTGTTGCCTCTGCCTGGAATAATCTCCCCCCAGAAGTTTACATGGCTCCCTTCTTCCCTTCACTCAGGTCTCTGCTCCAAATTTGCCTCCTCAGAGGACTCTTCCTTAATCAGCCCATCTAAGACAGTACCACTGCCACTCTGTCACCATACTCTGCTTTATGCCCCTCATAACTGTTCTTGTGACTGGACATCTCCTTACCTATTTATTTGCTGGTCTGTTTTTTGTCAGTCTCTGTGATGAGAATTTAGGCTTAGTGAGGGCAGGGATTCTGTATGTTTAGTTCACCAGTGTGTTTCCAGTGCTTAAAACAGTACCCAGCACGTAGTCAATGCTCAGTAGATATTTCTTGAATGAATAAATGAATGAATAATTGCTAGAAAAGTGGGAATAACATCATGGTATTTTTCTGTATCTTTAAACAATTCTGAAGGTCTGATGTTCTTCCAGTTATTGATACAGGATATTGTTTTATGCTTAAAGCTTTTTTGAAGCCAACATAACTGAATCTAATAAACTGTTTCCAGAAATAACCAGATCTGGGCATTTCTTGTTCATTACTGCATTACTGACAGGGTATCAAATCCAAAAGTATGTTTATTTCTACATAATGGTTTTAAAATACAAATAGCATCATTAAAAAATATTGTTTGAAAGAAGAAAAATCACTCCCATTACCCTAAAGTGTCTACATGCGTGCGTTGTATGCAATTATAATCAAGGTGAACATAAGAGTTTTTTCATGTGACATTATATTATAAATACTTTCAACACTGTCTCACATATTCCACGTTAACATTTCTAATGAGTATTCCACCAATGTTATGCATCAGAATTTACTTAACCAATACCCAGTTGTTAGACAATTGGGTTGCTTCCTGTTTTCCTTCTTAGAAATAATGCTTCAATTCTGAACATGGGTATATTTTTCCCTCCACGTTTTAGAAGACTACCTCATGATCAACTTCTAATGGAATAACTGGTTCATAAGATACCAGTGTAATGACACTCCTCATACATGTTGGAATACACATTGCTTTCCAAAAGGATTATATCAATGGAACAATGTCACAACAGCGTTACTGGCGTTGGGCAATAGCATTAAATATAATTTTGAGAGTTTAATAGACTTAAAATAACAAGGTCAATTTAATAGGCCTAAAAAGCTGTAAGATTGTATTAATGTGTGAATTTCTTTAACTGGTAGTAATGTTGGATTTTTTCCATGCACTTGTTAATGATTTATATTTCTCTTTTCAATAGGCTTTGCCTCTTTAACTATTAAAGGCTTGATGGTTTTTCTCTTACATTTGAATGAAATCTTTCATGGCAAATGTAAAGAGTTTCCTAGTCTTCTTGTTCTTCTTTTTTTCTTTTGTTAAAATACGCATAATATATTTACCATCTTCACCATTTTTAAGTGTCGAGTTCAGTGGTATTAAATACATTCACATTGTTGTGCAACCATCACCACCATCCATCCCCATAACTCTTTTCATCTTGTAAATCTGAAACTCTATACCTATTAAATAGTAACTCTCCATTCTCCCATCCCCCTAGCCCCTGGCAACCACCATTATGCTGTCTGTCTCTATGAATTTGACTACTCAAGTACCTCATATAAGTGGAATCATACAGTGTTTGTCTTTTTGTGACTGGCTGATTTCACTTAGCATAACATCCTCAAGGTTCATCCATGTTGTAGCATGTTGCAGAACTTCTTTCCTTTTTAAGGCCGAATAATATCCCATTGTAGGAATATACCACGTTTTGGTAATCCATTCATCGGTTGATGGACACTTGGATTACTTCCACGTGTTAGCTGTTGTGATTCTTATTAATTCTTATTTAATCAGATTCTTATCTGATTAAAAGAATAATTCTGTCATTCTTTTAATTTTAGCTTTTTGTAGTTGTTAAAAAATTTAATCTTCATACAGCTGAATTTGTCAGTTTTTTCCTTTGTTCATTCTCTTTAGTTTAGAAGTTGAATGTATGTAAGATGACATGTTAACTGCCCAATCATAATAGACAATGATAAATGTCACAATAATAAAAACTCATTTTAGATTACCTCATTCATATGGGGTTTATGAAAATTCTAGGAAGGGGAGCATTGAAGTGGATGCATGCCTAGAATATGTGGGAAATGTACGTGTAAGGGCAGGAGGAGAAGAGGAAGAAGAAAGAAGCAGCCATTGGTTCCCTCTGTTCGGGCACGACCGCATGTGTCTGAGAGCATGACTTTGCATTTAACACATAGGCAGAAGCTGGCTTTCTTGGGCAATCTTTTAAGTGGAAAATTCCCCTGACTGGCATTAATCTGTTCTGTGCTGCAGGGGATTCTCCAAGAGATGATTCCAAGGCACAGCAGAGCTCTCAGTTCTCCTCCAGCTATCAAAGAGTTATGTGTGGTTTACTTTTAAGAATTAGTCACACTAGGCTATGAACCACTTGAAGGCATTTGTAACCCAGAATCTGGAAATTGCTAGAGGTAGAACAAATGTTTACTAGATGAACATTTAAAAAATTGTTTTAACAATTTCCTAATCCTTTTGGTGGTTGTTTGGAAATTTATGGAGTGAAAAGAACAGTGTTTGCATTCTAGTACAGTCCAGGCACTAAGTTGGGTAACCTTAGGTAATTTATTTTTTTCTGGGCCTCAGTCTCCTCATTTGTCAAAATAAGAGAGGACATTAGGCTGCATGATCTCAGAGGTACTTTTCAGTGAGGATGTTCTATAACTACAGATCATAAATTAATTAAATATAGAGTTCAGTTCACTGTGATACTCTATTTAAAAAGATTTTTTAAAGCTATGTCTGATTGGGGCTGGCCCAGTGGCACAGTGGTTAAGTTCATACACTCTGCTTTCATGGCCTGGGGTTCTCGGGTTCGGATCCTGGGTGTGGACCTAGACCCCGCTCATCAGGCCATGCTGTGGTGGCAGCCCACATACAAAATAGGGGAAGATTGGCTCAGATGTTAGCTCAGGGACAATCTTTCTCACCAAAAAAGAGCACAAAAACAAAAAAAAACCTATGTCTTATCAAAAAGAGAATGAACTGTAATAGAAACAACAACCTTTTCGTAGGCTCAGAGGCACTGATTTTATTTAGCTTTATTGTGGGTCCTCACAATACGGTTTACAAACATAAAGGCATATTTTAATGTCAGACAATTGAAAAAGAGAAAAAAAAAATGAGACTTTCTCTCCTCTAGAGCTGTGCTGTCCAATATGGTATCCACTAGCCACTTGTGACTATTAAATAGTTGAAATGTGGCTAGTCTGAATTAAGATATGCTGTGAGTACAAAATACACATTGGATTTTAAAGATTTGATACAAAAAAAAGAATGTAAAATATCTCATTAATAATATCCGTATTGGCTACATATTGAAATCATAACATTTCAATTAATAATTTTCAAATAATTTTGCCTTTCTTTTTACTTTTAAAAAGGTGGCTATTAAAAAATTAAAATTACATATGTAGCTTGCTCTGTAGTTCTATTGGTCAGTGCTGCTCTAGAGCAGTCTGGACTTGGAGATAGCAAATGATGATGAGGATGAACAGGATAAAACTAGTGAAAGTACACAGATTAACTATCTGCGTTATTTAAACGAAAGTTTCTTTGCTTTTCATTCCAGCAAACTTAGTCTCCGCTGATTTTTAAAATGTTAAATTTATTCTCTTGTAGGAAAATGGCTTTGTAAAGAAGTTTGAACCCAAATCTGGCTGGCTGACTTTTCTGGAAGTTACTGGAAAGATCTGTGAAATATTATTTTTCCTGAAGCAATACTATTGACCAAAAAGGACACTCCATCTTGGGAAAACTGCCTAATTTTCTTGACTCTAACAAGAAGTATTGCCAATACTTATTTCTTCTAAACAAACAGCTTTGGTGATGTACGTTGACATTCCAGAGTTACAGAAATTTTGTCCGTTTTTTAATGAATAAATTGTATGTATTTGTCTCTATATGTAATTTGTGTCCTGCCTGGAAGTCTTGTTAAAGGATAAAGCTCAGTACAGGCGACAGGTATTGAATTAAAGGGATGATGACCAAGAAGGTGGTGTCCTTTCTGCCCCTTGGCAGATTTTCTTAAATGTATGCCCATTACCCAAAAGTCATTTCTGCTAGTCTACACTGCACAGTGGGTGGGGTCTGCTTCCCACCTCCCTCTGGGCCCCATGCTTTCTGTAATACCCAGTGCCCCTGGATGCTTGGGGTTTTCCACTGACACTCCCCCACCAAACTTCACTCCCTGGCCTGCCATTTGGAGTTGGTGGATATGGCCACCAGATTTGCAGAATACTCTGGGCTAGCTTGAACAAAGACAGTTAATTAGGTAAATAATTCAATGTTGAGCCACTGTTAAACTTTACATTTAAAAAAAATTCACTAATTAGAAAATTATGTTTCTTGTTAGACCCTATGTTCCAATTTTTAGGTCGGCAAATTTTATTGCAATATGGAGCACTATACCTTGTTCTAGACCTTCCCACTCTTCCATTTCTTCCCACAACACAATCTCTACCCCCATGGGGCTTGCATTACCTTTCTGAGGAAGTTGTTGATAGATCTAGTAGGGAAACCAGAGCCCCTCCCTCTCAGGGCATGTGCATTTTCGTGGGGGATTTCAGTTAATTCATGCTTAATTATGGGGAGTAGGATACTGGGGCAAGTCAGTAGGGAAATATCTTGGGCAGAGGTAGCTTTGGCTTACTTACTGAATCACATCTGAGAGGCAGCTGCCTATGCCACCTGGAGCTTGTATCTACAGAGGACAGGGAGCATTTTCTTTCACCTCATTCAGCCAAGTGCCTCCCCTCCCCCTGCCCAACTGTGTTAAGTTTAATTCATTTTTGCATTTATCAGAGCTAAGTGGTGGGAATGAATAGTCATGAACGGACGTAACAGGAAGTACGTATAGGAGTACTGCTACCTGGAAAATATTTGCACAAGAAACCACAAACCCTGGCTTTTACACTACAGTGATCTTGTTAACAAAGTGACACTGGGAAATCAGTGACCAGTTCCAGCTTGGTTTTGACCTGGTTTTCAAACTGCAGCTTATTACATGTGTTGTTTCTTACTTTACTTAGGAAAAAAAAAGGCTTTTATGAAACGCAACTCTTACCTCACAGCATACACAAAAATGAAAGTGAAACAGACCATAGACCTAAAAGTAAATTAAAACTATAAAACTCCTAGAAGAAAACATAGGAGAAAGGCTTCATAACCTGAAGTAGGTAAAGATTTCTTAGCTACAGCACAAAAAATCTGAACCAGAAAAGAAAAAATTGGTAATTTAGAACTCATCAAAATTTAAAAATTCTGGGCCGGCCCGGTGGCTTAGTGGTTAAGTGCGCGCGCTCCGCTGCTGGCGGCCTGGGTTCAGATCCCGGGCGCGCACCGACGCACTGCTTCTCCGGCCATGCTGAGGCCACGTCCCACATACAGCAACTAGAAGGGTGTGCAGCTATGACATACAACTATCTACTGGGGCTTTGGGGGGGAAATAAATAAATAAATAAAATCTTTAAAAAAAAAAAATTTAAAAACTCTGCCCTTAAAAAGACACCATTAAGAACTCAAATGGAGGGTATGTGAATTATATCTCAATGAAGTTGTTAAAAAAAAAAACTCAAAAAAGCAAGCCACAGAATGGGCGATAATATATGTCACACTAATGTCTGACAAAAGACTTGTATCCAGAATATATATAACACTCATAATTCAATAACACAACCATCAACCTAATTTAAAAATGGGCAAGAGATTTGAATATACGCTTCACAAAAGCAGATAGTCAATAGACACGAAAAACATGCTGGACACCATTAGTCATCAGGGAAATGCAAATTAAAACCACAATGAGACCAATGCTCACCCTTCAGAATGGCTAAAATGAAAAAGACTGACAATACCAAGCTTTGGGGAGGATGTGGAGCAACTGGAACTCTCATACACTACTGGTGATAATGTAAAATTGTACAACTACTTTGGAAAACAGCTTGGCAACTTGTTATCAATTTAACCATACACTTACCGTAGGACCCAGCAATTCCGCTCCTAGGTATTTACTCAAAAGAAATAAAAACGTATGTCCATACTATTCATAGTAGCTTTATTTATAATGGCCAAAAAAACTGGAAACAACCCAAATGTTCATCAACAATTGAGTGGATAAACAAATTGTAACATATCCATATAATGGAATATTACTTAGCAAAAAAAGGAATGAAGTACTGATACATGCAATGGAATGGATAATCTCAAAAACACTACGTTGAGTGAAAGAAGCTACTCACAAAAGAGTACATAGTATATTATATTATTTACATGAAACTTTAGAAAAGACAAATCTAATAAATAGTGACGAAAGCAGATGAGTAGTTGCCTGGGACTGGGGTGGGGAGATTGACTGAGAAAGGATTTTTAGGGTGATGAAAATGTTCTCCATCTTGGTGGTGGTATAAATTTGTCAAAATTCATAGAGTTGTACACTTAAAACAAGTGCATTTTGTTGTAGATAAATAATATCTCAATGAAGGGATTTAGAAAAAAGCTTGTTTTGTGGAAAAATGATAAACACTCATTATAAACAATGTAAACAATAAGGAAAAGTACAAAAGGAGAGAAATAAACATCGCCCCAAATACTAATTTAAAGTGGAATGCTATTAATGCCCAAATAAAATCATAAAGCACTCTTATTTAATCCTAAAAGGACATCGTCATTGTACATTAAAGCCTTGTTGACGCTCTACCAGGCTCTCTGCATGTTTGGCCCTCACTTCACTTCTCACATTTCATGTCAGTTGTGTCCTCCGTGGTGGTCTGTCTCTTCCGCAGCTTCGTTGGCCTGTTTTCAGCACCTTCTGCCACAGACTTTGATGCACGTTGTTCCCTCTGATTAGAACACTTCTCTACCTCCTCACCTAGTTAATGATTATTTGCCCTTCAGATTCAATTCAAAGGTTACTTCTTTAGGCTTGCCTTCCTTCACTAGGTTAAATTCTCCTATTATAGTCTCTCAAAACACCACTATCTCAATTACACTTTTATATTTGTGTGACTTTTAAATCAATATGTCTGTTTCCTCAACAGATAGTAAGTTCTATAGGGGCAAGAACCCTGCCTGTTTGTGCTCACTGTTTTATCTCAGAGCCAGATGAAAGCTCAATAAACATTTATTTAAAAAATAAAGAATGAACGGTAATTGGTTTTGGAATAGGCAACACCTGAGGCTGGGGTGAGGCTGGCCATCACATTCCCAGTAATAGCATGGAAGACAGTAACGGCTGTTTGCTGATTGTTTTCTGCATGCTAGGAACTTTAGATACATAATCTCTTTCAGTCTTCATGGCAGTCCTCTGAGGTAGATATTACCCCATTTTACTATTGAAGAACAGGCTTAAAAGCAGGAAACAAACTTGCCCAAGGTCATAGAGTTGGGTGGGTGGGTCACAGAGGACCCACACTGGTACTCACTGCCCTGGGCCTCCTCTTTCTGTGGCACTTCCTCCTGATCCCATGGTGCCGCCCAGACCTTTTACTTCCTTCCCCATCCCTTTCACAAGTTGGAACTGTGTGTGAAAGCCAGCTGGGTGAAACTGGTTTCCGCACTGATGGCGTGGGTATTCAGCAGCCAGGTGGGTGTCCTCACCCTCCCTCTTCGTTACCCTCCACCCTCTTATGTGTGCCCTCCCTGTAGTATCGCCCCAACTTAAACTAGTCGTCACTATTTTGAATCTGGAAACTTTTTGCTGAGGGCATAGAGTTACTGACAGGGAAATGTTGCTTTGTATAATTCTCTGGAACATGAAGATAAAACAAATGTTTTCTTTATAATCAGTAGCTCTGCTGGAAGATGCTATTAGGGACACAGCATCAGGATGGGCGTGGCTAAATCATTTTTCCACAGTGTTGGTGGGTTTTCTCTGATTCATCTACCTTATGACCAAAGGCAGGATTTTTAAGACAGCTGACTGAGTCTTGGGCTATGATTTATTGCCTTAACAGAGTAAATCTAACTGGCTCACACGAGAACCAAAGCCATGACCAATGTTCTCTGGAACTGTTCTGAAGTTGAAGGCTAATGACTATGCTATTTGAGCAACAGAAGACTGTATATACAGGAAGCGTTTATTATAGACACTTGCGACACAATTATTTTGACACAGTTTAATTCCCATTGACTTTGCTTTCTGTTTCACTGAGCACTTCCACATGTCCTCCCCACCATATCTACCAACTACTTTGCATCTTGACTGGTATATTTTTCTTCCCTCCTATTGTTATTGTGAATCAGTTGTTTGAAGGCCAACTCCTAAACTTGTGTATTAAATCTCATTCCTTATTGCCTCCTTAGGAACATCTCTTCAGCATCACAGAATTTTCTCTTTCCACTGAATCAGTCTCATAGCACATGGACTTGCTGTAATTTCTCCTAAGATAAAAAGAAATAAAACCAAACACACAGTCTTTCAGCAACCACCCTATTTTTCTGCTTTCCTTCACAGGAAAACTCCTCAAAAGAGTATCTATGCTTGCTGTCTCCAATTTTTCTCCTCTCATTGTCTCTTGAATCCTTACTACCAGACTTTTATCCCCACTACTAAGTTCAAGGATGAATTCTCAGTGCTTGAATTTCTTGACATAATGACATTTGACACAGTGGATGACTCTCGCTTTATATTTGACTTCTGAGGCACCGCTCTCTCTTGGTTCTCCTCGTATCTCACTGGCCACTCTTTCTACATCTCCTTTGATGAATCTTCCTCATCTCCCCAAGCTAACTGCCTAACTCTAAATATTGGGGTGCCCCTGGCTAGTCCTTGGCTTTCTTCTCTTCCTTATCTACACCCACACTTCAAATATCTCATTCGGTATCATAACTTGAAGGATCAACCACATGCTTATGACTCTCAAATTCCTATCTCCAGCCCAGACCTCCCCTGGGAAATGCAGACTCATATA